CAACAAGCACAATCCCACTCGCCAGTACATCGCCAACAAGCCTCACAAGTGGGGCACTAAGCTATTTATGGCCTGCTGTGCTACAACGTCCTACTGCCTTCGGTACGTGCGCTGGCAAGATGTGAGCTCCTAGTGAGCTCACATCTTTTTTTTAGTCTAAGTAAACATGTTGTTTGCGAGATGTTGTATCTTACAACTTACTGTTATGTTGTATGACTACAGACTGGAGGTTTATTGCAGAAAAGCTCAACATGCGCAGGAGTTGGGAAATGTACCGAAGTCAATGCGGTCAGCTGACCATAACACCGGCCCAGCGGCTGTAATGCGCAATCTTGAGGCTGTTCTACCGCCTCGGATTGACGGCGTCTACTACTTGATCGTGACCGATCGATTCTACACGTCGGTTCAACTCTCGTACCAACTACTACAGCGGCAAGTGTACTCAGTGGGAACAATTCAAGACGATCGCCAAGGGTACTGCAATGCGATGGTGGAGAAGAATCGGAACCGTCCGAAGAGCATTGCCCATGGCACTACTCGTATGGCAGTCGCCAAGAACTGCCCTCTTATGACGAGCCTTGTATGGTGGGATAGGCGACCAGTACAATTGCTGGGAACCGGAGGTAGCCGGGCAATGGAGAGTTGCTGTGAGTTATACGCTTTGAAGATATTTTTGTGGGAGAAACTGACGAAACTATTTTGTTTTTGCCTGCTCAACATCTAGACCGCTGGAAAACGGGAGGTGTTCGCGCTGAAGTACCCTGCCCATCTATGATGCGCGATTACCATCGCTGGATGGGCGGGGTAGACGTACATGATCAGCTCCGGCTGCAAAGATATTCATTGCAGCGGCAGACCAAGTGCAAGAAGTACTACAAATCCATATTTCTCGGTCTTGTGTACATCGCGATAGTGAATGCATACATCATCTACCGTGAGTGCCAGAAGAAGCGTGGCGCTAGACAAGACTCGCATGCAGAATTCCTGATGCAGCTCCAAGCACAGATGCTCGAACTAACGGAAGATGATTTTAACCAGGTGAGTCTACAACATGATGACTGGTAACATGTATACAACATGTTAACATACAACATGTTGTCTTTGTGTTTTTCAGCGTCAAGCACAAGTGAATGGAGTGGATGTTGTCGCCAGATCACTGCCAGCGGAGCATGTCCGTCGCGAGAATCCTGATTTCCAAATTATCAACGGACAGCGCAAGCGCCGACAGCGGCAATGTAAGGTATGTTCCAACCGCAAGCGCAGCGTGGGCGAGAGTCGAGCAACGAAGTACTATTGCCCTGGTTGCAGTCCGTCGGAGAAAGCAAGGTACGTTCATCAAGGTGAAGCATGGCATGTGAGGTTGTAATTCTAACACAATATGTAGAAATTACTTGTGCAACAAGGTCTGGCCCCATGTGAAGAATAACACCCTTACTTGCCACCAGATTTGGCATCTCCAGTGGAACAATGGCAAGGATCGGCCTCGTCCCCGCTGCGGCCGCGATATTCAGAATCGCGAGGCGGGCATTGGAGCAGGAAAGCGGAAGCGACGTCGTCGAGCGCAGGGTGGCGAAGACGAAGATGGTGCGGCAGAGGGTTCTGCGGATGACACGGCTGAAGACGACGCTGAGGAGAGTGCCAGGGAGGACGCAGAGCGTGTTGCAGACGACACTATCGCAGACGCCGTATGCGAGGCTGCGGAAGATGCGGCCGATGGCACTGTGCAGGACGCAGTGGAGAAAGCAGTGGAAGACGTCGTGGAGGCTGTGGCCAATGCAGTGGAAGAAGGTCAGCAAGGCGTAGTGCTGTAGGGGAGGAAACTTACACTAAGTGGACTGAAATGCAAGTCTAAGTTTGATGCCATTGCGTTCGTACATGTAGCCAGTACAGTTTTGTCCGTTTCTCCATCCTACTTCAGTACATTTGCTGGCGTTTCTTTTGATTGCTCAAGTTGGTTTATTCAAAGAAGAGGGGAGGTATTTTCTCTTGATAAAACGTACATCTTCATCGCAGTAGTGATGTTCATTTTATTCCGAACAGGTTGTATGATACAGCATTAAGCCATCGGCGCCGTTGTATATGATAGCATCATGGAGGTATTGGAAAAATGGGAAAATGACACCAGGTGAGTAGATACATGAAAGTTGTGACAGAAAGTGTAAAATGATCACAGACGAAGATGGTGAACACAGCTTTCGTACCGACTCACTTACTGTCGCAACTTTGCATTCAGCAAATCCCTTGTTGGTCGGTGGGAGCCAATCCCAATTGAGAGACGATACCGGTAATCACAGAACCCCCAGTCTAGTTTATCGCAATACTGTTGTTTTCATCCCCGCAGGGTAGGCTCCTTGACGCTTAGCTCTCGTGAAAGCGTCTGCTGCAGTCCATTCTGGATAATTTTTCCACTTTTTCAGCAGCTCAATCTTCTCTCTCTCGGACCGCTGGGTGGAATCGGGAAAAAGTCACAATAACTCGCGCGAGTTATTCTGACTCAGGAAGAAAGTCAGATTAACTCGCGCGAGTTATTCTGACTCAGGGAGAAACTCAGATTAACTCGCGCGAGTTATTCGGACTCAGGGAGAAAGTCAGATTAACTCGCGCTAATTATTCTGACTCAGGGGGATATATTACAAACACAGCCACGTCGTGAAATAGGCCTGCAGATCGCTAGCTGAAAACCTATCCATTTCCTGCTCAAGTACGAGCTGGGCTAGGTGATCCGGACCTGTAGCGGTGTATTCTTGTGGCCCACCAGACACTGGTATTGCATGAAACCATGTTATGATCCATAGGTCGCAGTACTGACTCAGGACTCAGCAGTACTACTGAGTATAGACACGCGCGGAAAACTCGTACTCTACAGACCTCCCATGAGATAAAGCGTAGTCTTGAACAGCATGAAGAGCATGTGGAGCAGTATCAAAAGTCATTTTGACTTGAATAGTTTTTCTCATCGCCGCTGTCCAATCCATCAGCGATGTCGTCGATGTCCTTCGTCATTTTGCGTCCCTCAGTCGTAATAAGTGGTTCTGGGACTTAAGAGTTATAACGTATTGCGCGCTGTATACCAAGTTGCGAAGTGAGATTAGTCAAAGAGTCCTCAAATAATTTCTATCTACGAGCTCCTGCGGCAGCAGTACCTGTCCTTCATGCTGCTGCTTCAGTAGCCGCGTGCCACCGGCTACTCCTGGTCTCCGGCGTGTGCCGCCCGCTCACTGCCGCCAGTCGCGTTGCCGATATGGCTTGGAGGCACGCGAGAGCGAAACACGAGCACGCGCCTCCTCTCGGTATTCGCTGAGTCTGTTCAGGCAATGTCATCTGATAGTTGGTGTGCCATACTCCACAAGAGTATACGATTTGGGTCTTCATACGCATGGCGAGCATTAGTATACAACGGGTATTTGGGTTTAAGTCCGGTCCACCTAGTTTCAGCCATTCAATCATTTGGACACACGTTGTGACATTTGTTCCCTAAATTCCTCACTTACTGACGCGGGTTTCACTTGGTACACCTACCGGCGATACCGACCCCACTTTGCTCACGTTTTGGCACACCTTTAACTTTCTGTCACAACTTTAGTGTATCCACTCACATTTTGTCATTTTCCCTTGGAAAAATGGCATGTCGCGTTTTTCAGTAAAGGTACTCGTACTTATATGGGACTGTACAAATATTAAGTACTGCCTGGCGTTAACACGCTGTATTTGACAACATGAACCGTTTTTCTATTAGGTGCGAATTTTGATTTGGTCGTTGGGGGGTTAAAAACCCTGGATAGACCTGCCAACACCGGTGGGTGCCGCTTCAGGGGCCATGCATATGTATATTCTCTTTTCTTTGGTAGCTACCGCCGGAACTAGGCTAGCACTTAGGGTCTGTAGGCGAGGATGCAGCGTAGCGCGCCTCGGGCGTAGTCGCCATAACCGCAACAAATTCAAATTCAAATACACACACAGTATGGATTGTTTACTCAAGAGATCCTACGTTCATAGTATGAACGTACCGGTATGAATCATACCGGTACGTACCAACAGGTTACAAAACGAAGGGCAAAAAGACAAACGGATCCGCATTGCACTAGACAAAATATTCATTTGAAATGATGACGAATACATGTAATGCTTCGCCACTCGTCCAATAAGATAAGTTCAATATTTAAAAGCGGTGGAAGTGGACAGATATGCTGGCCTAACACGGGGTGATTAAAAAGCTTCTTTTGCCAGCTTACGCCCTGTCGAAGGTTTGAACGAAGCAGAAGCCGACACGGACTTTTAATATCATGCGACAGAGCCTTGATAACCTAAAGTGGGCCGCTTCATCGAGATAGCAGTGCAATGTATACTTCATCTTGTGCAAAGCATACGGTAGATACCCTTCTGACTCTTACTGGCTGTGCTGGTATTACAGTAACACCTGTACAACGTATTATACACTCAAGAACAAAAAAGTGATGTCATCGATCGCTGTCGATTGTGGGTACGCTTCAGTATTAGCGTGTGTGTGGTACGAACATTCGGTTTGTGCATGTGTCGCGGGAGTCGCTCCCATTTATTGGCAAATTGGACTAGCCAGCTGATTCAATTGAATAGAGAAGCTCGCCATTCAGTTGACATTGTCAATGTATCCATTACGCAGGATACAGTAAAGAGGCTAAAAAAAAACCCACATGTTCTCGAGAAGATTCTACAAAGCTTTTACCGGCTCGACCCAAGCACCAACAATTTCCGCTGCAGCTGTCATCTGTGACAGCGTGCATTTACTGTACTGTACTTTGTTTTAGTAAGGTTTACTTTCACATCCATCACATCCAGCTCGAGCACATCCGTCCGCATCGCTATATTGTAACCTAGCACGGTGAGGCAACCCCAGACTCCGTGGCTTCGGCTCTGACAAAACATTGTACGCCAGCCAGTCACTTCGCATTTTGCTTCCAAGACCACAAGGCCCGTCAAACTCCAAGCCCTCGAAGACTAGTCAACGCTTCTCCACCATAACAATGCGCAGCATATACTACGTTGTACTTGCCGCCGCGCTATTCGCTCGTACCACCGTCGTCACAGCGTTCACGAATGCGGATGACTCGCAGCTCGTCTCGAAGATGTCTCCCGATTTCGCATCCGATGTTAAGATCAGTGGCGACTTCCAGACGAGATCCCTCCGAGTCACGGATCCAGAAGATGGTAACTTGATGACCGATAGCGAAGAGCGAACTAAGTATGCAAGCCTCAAAGACGTCATCAAGAGGTCGGCCGCTGCTGATATTCTAAAGAATATGCCGAGCGACTCGGTCAGAAAAATGGTCAAGGCAGTTAAATTTAAAAGCGAGCTAACGAATAAGGAGGAAGAGGTTGTGAAAGCCCTCTTGGCCTTGGCTGCTAAAGCCTAAGTAACCAGGGCATCGCGCCAGCGACCCAGAAACAAAAAGCTGATAGCGATCTTTATATCGTTTTTACTTTTCTTGAATTAAGTAATCTGATCAATCAAAATCTGATGCTTATGTTCGGCTGGAGGTATTCATAGTTCGTCAGAAAAATGCTTATCATTATAGGTTTTTGTTAGCAATTTCAGACTACGTAGTATTCGAGATCTCGGACGAGCCAACAGTTGACAGCTACGTAGGTCTGCAAAGGCAATGCGCTTGATTCGTGAAACGCCAGAGACCATTACGATCGCTTGCAAAGCTGCGATGTGGATTAAAAGTACTAGATCTTTGCTTCGTAGCTGCGATATCTGTCAAAAGAACAGTGGCTATATATATAGTATTATACCTTGTACATCCGATTGTGAATTATCGTCACTGACACTACGACGTATTTCCGATAGGTATTTCGTCGGCTCACAGAAGCCCCAGCTTGACATCATCAGCAATTTCAGTGGACATTTTTGCTGTGCTCGTGCTGACATGGCCGATGTCAACTACTTCGAGGTAGATTATATTTACAAAAAAAACGCACTTTAAAAATGCCTGTCAAGTTAAATAATGGATAAGCCTTCCAATTGGCCGATTGTCGAAAACCCTGGTTAAAATCCATTTTTAAATCAAAGCGCTATCATTTTCCGAATCAACTCTATATACATGTAGCAGTTTGTACTATAATAACATTGAACGGTGTTTCGTAAACGAGCTGTTTAAGGCATCTATGTCTCGAAGCTGCACTGCGAGTCCCAGTACACAGTTCCAGTCTGAGACTGTGTTTTTAATATCACATGACCCTTTAACGCCGTGCACTGGTCATTGTGAGTGTGACCCACTGTACAAGCTCTAAATCATTGTGACAAATTAGTTCATACTTCGAAGTCTAGTATTAATAAGTGGTGAATCATCAAAGATACTTGACGTTGTCTTTGGCCTCATCCGAGGCCTCTTCAGTATTCCTGTTTTTCTAGTCATAGCCGGAATTACTTATTGAACACTCCATTCGTATTTTTCACAGCCCCTTGGCAGCAGCTCATCATTAATTTACCTTCAGTACGTAGGATTGGTTGCCACCGCTTCCAATTGTTTGGATTGATTACTGTACTGCGTTTTATGGTACGTGTGTGGGTCAGCCGAAGTTACATTCATATTTTTAAATAGTTCACTAGAACTTCAGAAGTACTACAATACAGACAACGACGGTGAAACTCAACCCCCCACAAAAACTCAACCCCCCTTACAGTGCAACTTTAACCCCTTAGTTCCCGGCCGAAAAGTCAGGGGTATATTTTGATCTTATGTTGGAGCTCCAACATAATTTAATATAGGAATTTGTATGGCCCCGAATTTCGTCCAGCTATGCAAATGGATAGTGCAGGGTTGCTAATGGATAAAAACGAGCACATCCAACATATTCCTGTTTCATGTTGGATTTTCTCAGTTGTACTGCTGCATAAGATGACTGATGCAACATTGTAAATGGCCTGTTTATTGAGATCATTGTCTGTGTTACACAGACTGTGTAACATTGCACACGTCAAGTAAAGAAGAAATAGCCAATAGAAGCAAATCAATGTAACCACTATTCATTTGATTGCACACGCAAACGGCGCACACTACGATTGCTCCCCCTCTGCAGCAGCGTCTTTGTTCGGGGCCTGGTCATCGGCATCGCCGGATGCGTCAGCGTCGGACCCACCCGCTGCTACTTCACTCGCGCACGCCTCACTGCCGCTCGCATCACGTCGGCGGTGTCGCTTCTTGCCTGGACGCTCCGCTGGCGCTCGGTCGCGTATCTTGTGGTCGCGTAGCAAGCGGCTCGGGATGTCATTTTCGTTCTTCCAGTCGAGGTGCCATATCTGAAAGCACGTGCGCTCCCTTTCCTCCCTAACAACGTTGCAGAGATACTTCCTGCGGCACAACCTACAGTCAGCGCTATCACCGTGTTAGTATCAAGCATGAACAGCATGTACGTACCTCTTTGGCCCTGCAGAGCATTCTGGACAGTAATACTTCGTATACTTCCGCGGCACCACCTTGTAGATAGCACACACTTTGCAGGTTCTGTGGCGACGCTTCTTTCCGGTTTCAGTGTCGGCCTTGTCTGGGTTCTCCGCCAGTTCGTGGCCATCATCAATGCGGTCTGAGCCACGTCGCTGCTCCTCCCGTCTTAGCGACGCTCCTCGTGCAGGTGAAGCGGCTGTACGCTCCTCAGCGGAGGTGGATTTCTAGAATAGGAAACATAACCAACATAACACATATTAGTAAATGCATTTATGTTGCCAAACCCATCATAGCAACTTACCTCAATCTCAGCGAAAGAGTTTTCATCAACAGCAAGTAGTTGTTCCATGAGTGTCTCGAAGAATGCGGAATGCTTCGGGGATTTGTGCCCATTGGCACGCTGGTTGTGTCGATACACAATAAAGGCGTTCATCAACGCCATGTCCAGCAATCCGAGAAACAAGGTCTTGTAGTACTTTCGTGATTTGTACGAAAGCTGCACGCTGTAGCGTTGCATCCGGAGCTGGTCGTGCACATCAACACCTCCCATGTATCGGTGATAGTCACGGACCAGCTCCGGTGCCGGTAGCTCTTTCATTTGGCCTTTGATACGCCGCACTACAATCAAAAAGCACAATAGTGAGCAATGATACATATATATAAACACACAGGCTTACTTACTGACACTGACTGTTTCTCTGCTGCCACCACTGCTCAGCATGTGGACGGGATTGCGGTCCATCCACATTGCTGCGGTTATCTGCGGAAAAAGCTTATTTTCAGCCAGCTTGATTGTCCCCTGTTGTGGTACTAGCTCTCTCACACCATTCACGGTTCTGTAAGACTTGTCAGTCTTCACATCCTTCGCGTACCCTGCCATACGCGTCTGGATCGTACCCGTAATGTACATCCGTCGCTGCAACAGCTCCAACGCCAGCTTCACCGACGTGTAAAACCGGTCTGTGATTACCAAACGCCACGGGGAGGTCGGTGATGGCGGGCACAGCGCGTTCATGTTCCTTAGTACGGCAGCCTCGCCGCAATTATTATCAGCAGGAATCGGAGTCCGGAGATTACTCTTAGCACTACAGTACACCTCGAATCTGAACAGTCGCACAAACGCACACGATATTACTAAAAGTAATAAATATGTTGGATTAGAAAATTCTCCACAATGTGGATGTTTGCCCGTCCAACATAAGCACTTAGACCAAAAAAAAGGTGGCAAGCATTAGCTTGCCACCTTGAACGCACCTCATGCAATAAGCTGTATCTGCACACGCTGCCACGAACACCTTGGCCCCCCACTTGTGCGGTTTGTCCTTGTTGAACTGTCTGGTAGGATTGTAGCGGGATCTTGAAGGCAGCGTAGCTTCGTCAAAGCTAATGACAGGAGGAATCTTGTAGCCGCGCGCAAATGTACGCTGTAAAACCTCGATAACCGGCCGAATCTTCCATACACGATCCGTGCTAGCTTGAGGCGACTTGTTGTTGGAGAAGTGCAAGTATCCCATTATGTGGAAGAACCGGTTGCGGGACATGTACTTGCCGAAGCGTGGCGTTGGCAACGCACCAGCCGGTGTCAACTCCCAGTGAGCAGCAATCCCCTTTCGCACTGGAGACAGCATCCTTGCAATGAGAAGCGCGATGACGCGCAAAACCTCCCACGGTTCTATCGGCTTCACACGTGCTAGTCGCCGACGAATATCTGCGAGGTTCTCTACTTCTCCACCACCACGACGCTGCTTCGCTTGAATCGCCTGCGCACGACCCGGTATCGACTGCGTGTGGTAGCGATTGCTCTCGACGGCAATCTGTCTCCACAATTTTGGCGGTAGGTAGTAGAAGAACAGCGCCAGTGGGTCTTCAGCCACTCCAAGGACGCTCTCAGATGGTCCATAAGGCCCGTCGTAAAAGTCTTCATACGTAGGATTGTCTCCAAATTTGGACTGGTCTACAAATAGCACATCAAAGTGAGTTAGATAATGTTAACATTATGTTAGACAACGACGGAATAATAGTTCCGTATGTTGGATAGCGTTCAACATAACTTACCATACTCCCAGCCAGAATGTTTCATCTCCGCCAAACGCGCCGCATTCATCGCCACCGACTTGCAGAACGTGTCCGGTAGTTCAGTTCCAACGCAATCGGCTAACTCCTCATCAGAGAGTTCTCCAAGCTCCCAATCTTCTTCCCACTCACTGTCCGCGTCGTCATCGTCTGAATCAGGACCAGATTCCTCTTCTGATCCGAGGCCAGTGCACTCACGTGCACCAGCCGCCATGATGTTAGGATCACCGTCGACTACGCAGGCGACAGGGAGATGCGGGGCAGCTGACGCAGCACCGGTGTCTGTGGTGTCACTTATGGTGCCTTCAGCTTGAGCTTCGCGTTCTGGTCTGTCTTGTAGGACGCGGCGGCGTCGTTTCGGGGATCTTTGCGTAACCGGCGCCTGCTTGTTCGTCCGAGGGGGGCGCAAGGTCTCCACAGCGCCTTGAGCATCTCGCACAGGCGTTAGAAGCGCACTTGAAGCCACAGTTGAAGCCACAGCCATCACCACGTCTGCTACAACTTCCTCCACCTCTGGTTCCACAGAATCTTTCTCATTTTCTGCAACAGGTATTACCTCTTTAGCTTCGTCCGTACTCGCTGTTGCTTCTGTCTCTTTGGGTGCTGCCGGCTCAATATGTGGACCTCTAGACTCTGCTATCTCCATGGCTGTCGTCGTAAGTTTCACCGCCCTCTTGCTAGACTGCTTCTTCAACGCACGCCCCTCAGCGCCATGCTTTGGCTCTGCTGCTGACTGCCTCTCGTCGTCTCGACGAAGGCGACGCTTGTGGCGGTCACTGAGGGCTGCCTTGCACAACCGGGTCTCTTCCGCTGTCAGCGTCCGTCGTGGCATCTTGCCAGACGTCGCCACCATTCTGGTCTGCTGCCCCCGCGGTCGTTTTGAAGTATGAGAG